AAGCCTCTCACCACCCCTGAGCCTCTGGCCTGTACCCCAGTTCTGTATGCACAAATAAATCTTTAAAAAAAAAAAAAGTTTATTCTAACCTGACTTTTTATATATAAATTGACACCCATTTATTCATCCTGAAAACTCACCACAAAGGAAAGGAAACGTTGGTAATTTAGAAGTAATCAACTTTAAAATTTTTTCTTGTACTCATTCCTCCACTTGTGGCTTTTCTTATTTTAAATATTTGTATTTTAATACAAATAGTTGTATTACCAGTATTTTTATATACTAGATTTCCATTTTAAATTAGCTGTGATTGAAGTCTGAGAGTTGTTGCGATGTCTCAGTGTCTAGTTAATGGAATTTTGAACTGGTTGCAATTAACTAACTCAGGTAAAGGGACTTTGTAACCCATCAGAAGACATTCTGTGCTCAACAAATTGTATGTATTGATATTTTTAACACTAACCAAGACTCACTGTATAGATAGATCTACTACCAGTTGTTAAAATTGTTGCTATAAGCTTTAAGCCGTTTGATATTTCTGATCATTTAGAATGATGCTTCAGAGGTGAACTATGAAAGTTTGAAAGTATTTTCTCATATGGCCTTTAGAACTCAGTAGTGTCAGCCAGTAATATGGAGTGATGCAGTCTGCGCATGAAGCTTGTTTCAATGTGTCGGGTATTGTGTTGCCAGGTACTGGTAAAACGACATTTATCAGAATGCTGGCTGGAAGACTGAAGCCTGATGAAGGAGGTACTGTTGCAAAACACTGACTTTATGCTCTGTTTCATATACTAAATTTTAAAGATTTGGGTTGTTGTCAGAGTCTCATTTTTTTACATTGTTTTACAGGAGAAGTACCAGTCTTAAATGTCAGTTATAAGCCACAGAAAATCAGTCCCAAATCAACTGTAAGTTATTTTTTCTTAATTGTTAATTAAACACACCCATACACGTTAACCAGCGTTTCTACTCCTCGGTACATGACCATCAAAGACAGCGCTAAACACCAGTTTGCACACAGCTGTTGTTTGTAATTGCTACCAAGTGGGAAATAACCAAATCAGTCTTCAAATGATGAACAGGCAAACACAATCTGACATACCCATTAGATTTAATGTTATTTTGCCATTTAAAAAAAAAAAATACTGACTCATGTTGCAATGTGGGTAAACCTTAAAAACATTGAGGCTAATCTCTTTTGCTCTCTGCCCACTTTGTGTAAAAATTACCTACAGCAGCTACACCAGTAACCCAACACACAGCTGGTGTTCTGCTTATTGGGGATGGCTTCCTTTACAATAAAAAAATTATGGTTGCACTTTCTATAAGACTTACTTTTAAATTGTCAAATTCTGCCCTCTTGAAGCAAAAGCCATCGTGACCACATGACCATGCAGCTGTGGGCCTCACTGATTGCCTGCTGCTGTACTGGCCTTCCAGTTAGCCGTGTTTTCAAACTGTTTCTTCTCTGAAGTACTCATTTACTTACAACTTTCGTATTTCAGGATTAATATTTACTTGTTGGACAGAGAGATAAGTTTGAATCTTTAAAAATCTCAAAACATGCCATAGGGGAAAGGATTAGCATTAAAAATATTTTCGTATAAATGCTTTTTCCCATTAAAAACAGGGTAGTGTTCGACAGCTACTACATGAGAAGATTCGAGATGCTTACACTCATCCACAGTTTGTGACTGATGTAATGAAGCCTCTGCAAATTGAAAACATCATTGATCAGGAGGTACTCAGCTTATCTCATGTATTTTATTACTTCACACTTTGTACGTGTCTACATGCTTTACCAAACTTGTCCAAATAGGTGCAGACATTGTCTGGTGGTGAGCTGCAGCGAGTGGCTTTAGCTCTCTGCTTGGGAAAACCTGCTGATGTCTATTTAATTGACGAACCCTCTGCATACTTGGATTCTGAGCAAAGATTGATGGCAGCTCGAGTTGTCAAACGGTAATTCACTGCTCCTAAGAGGACTGGCTCCATGTGTGCTTACTTTCAGCTGTACTTCATATGACACCTGAATATTTGCTAATAAAAAACATTGAAACTTGGAAATCATGTCTTTCAGTTTCATCCTCCACGCTAAGAAGACAGCTTTTGTTGTGGAACATGACTTTATCATGGCCACTTACCTGGCAGACCGAGTCATTGTATTTGATGGTATTCCATCTAAAAACACCGTCGCCAACAGGTAAGCCTACTTTCTTAAGATACTCAGACTTATGAATGCTAACAAATGAAAATTATTTCACCTTACCTTTTGTCTGCTTCATCATTTGGATGTCCAAAGTGGAATTATTACAATTTGGGTTCTGCAAATCATTAAAAAACCATAGATGTCATATATATACATCTATCTATATATATTTAAAACATAAAATAAATCCACATAGGGTTCATGAATTGCCCAACTTGCTGCTAGTGGTAAAATTCATACTAGACCCCAAATCTGCAACAAAGTTAAAGATGATTTTACTTTTGCCCCTTTTCTCTCATTTTTCCTTATTAACTTGAGAGCACTTTCATTATGGAGCAGCTTCACATTCAAATCAGCTAATGGAAACTTCTTTATTTTAGGTTGAACCATGTGAAGTTACCAGTGTGTTCAGCTGTTTTTGGACCTATAAACACAGCAATTTCATATGACCTCCACAATGTTTTTTCTTGGTCTCAGAATGGGGAAATAGAGTTGCTATTAGGATAGTTCATCCAAGAAATAAAGGCAATTTTTATTACTTTAGGGAAGTCTCTTAAGACATATAAAGCTTATTAGTCAAATAATCTCACAAAATGCTCAAATTATCACATTTATGATGTGATATAGCATTTAAAACATAGCTTGAGTGAAAATAATGTGAAGCATGGAAATACAATTCTGATTAGTCAAACAGTCAAAACTATTCTGCAGTATATATTCTTTCCAATGCCAAATTTCTACTGTAAATACCTTATTAAATTTCCTTCTTCCTTAAAAATGTCAGGTTCGAGATCCTCTAATATACTAATGATCTTTTTTTCTAAAGTGGTACTTCTGTCTTAAATGTTCCTTTTCCTGATCAGAAACATGGGTTAAACTGTGTCTTTGCACAAAAACGTCTTGGCCAGACAGGTGTGTCCAAGCAAAGGCACATCTGACAGACTCGCTCATACGCTGTGATTAAATGAGTGTCCAGGTGTTCGCAGTGGGGGCGCGAGTCAAAACAGTGGATTTTGATTCATAAAGTAAATTTGGGGGATAAAACTTAATCACAATGATCTTATTTTTCCCCTAGTCCTCAGACCCTTTTGGCTGGCATGAATAAATTTTTGTCTCAGCTTGAAATTACATTCAGAAGAGATCCAAATAACTACAGACCAAGAATAAACAAGCTCAACTCAATTAAGGTATGTGAACAAACTCCCTTAGAGCATGGGTAACTTCCTCAAAGGCATGTTTCAAATTGAAGGCTGTTTTGTTGACACTGCAGATCAGATTTCATTCCAGGGTTTTGTGTGCTTCTTCATGTTAAGTCTGGTGGCACACACGTGGCAGCAGATGTGACCCAGCTGCTGTGGCTGCATGACCCAGCAGATCTGCTCATGTCTGAGCTGTGCCCACTGCTGTACTTTACTTGACTTGCCATTTAAAATGAATTCAGAAAGCTCTTACTGAAATAAAAGCTCACTGCAAATACTTTAACCAGCTTCTCTCATACATTTCCTTGTGCATATGCAAGAGGAATACATGATAAATACCTGAAAGTCTAAAAAGCAAGTACTTCTATGACCTGAAACTTTTAAGCAACCGAAAAGCAGCTGAATAGACAGTGTGTGCCCTGTACTTGATAGAGTTTGAAATAAGGAATTTAAGAACAGAGTTCTCTCTTGGTTGCGTGAAAAAGAATGACTGGACTCTGAAAGCATTTAAGGCTCTCCTGTGGTGCCTAGCTAAGACACTTGTTTACATTTTATGACTATCCATCATCCTTACTACTTCTAAGTGTTAAATGTAGTTTATGACTGTCTCTACTGTAGCATGTAGATTTTGTTCCTCTTGCATTTATGCTCCTCTAACTGTACTTCGAAACCAGGTCATCATGCACAGCACGCATCACATGCACACAGCACAATGTCTGAATGTCTTTTTGCCTTCCCTGTACATTTTATTTGTAAATGATTTATCTTACTCTCTGGCCAGGATTTAAAAAAAAAAAAAAAAAAGTTCAGAATTAAATTGAAGCTCTTTCTCAATTCTGAAAAGCACACTGAACTCAAAAAAGACCAAATGCACACACCTTATTTTCCTAAGAACATTTTCTGAAACATTCCGCTCTCTGCGTTCATTTTCTTGTTAGACACTCCAGGTTCAGTTGCCAGCTGTACCTCTGCTTCCATCCTAAGAAGGGAGCAGCTAACACGGATGGGTCCTTAGCTGGCCAATCTGTAAACAGTACTGGGAGAAGTCAGTTTTATGTACATTTTGTGTACTAGGCAGTTCTGAAGTTAACCAAAAGCTTCTGGATAAAATGATGAAAATGGAAGTTAATGAGCTTCCTGGAAACGGTGTCTTAATAGAGAAATTTCACGTGTCTGAAGTACAGCATTTTTGTGTAAAGGAGCTTTCTTAGGTGGGTCAGGTGAGGTGTTTTGGTAGGAGTGGGTAACCAGTAGTAAGTCTGCCCTTACTTGGAGCCAGGACTATCCAGGTGCAGTGAGTGCTGACAAGTTTTACAGACACACTCCTGAGAGGGAGGGTTAGAGCCCACCTCCACATCCAGGAAAGAAGTATTCATTTTTTTCTTCTCTATTTTATCTTTTAGGATGTAGAACAAAAGAAGAGTGGAAACTACTTTTTCTTGGATGATTAGACTGAGAATACTTATAAGCCATTTATTAAAGGAAACATTGGGATTTTGTCGTATAAAACTTTAATCAAGTTTTATGCCTCACATACTCTGGAGCTTGAAGAATAATTAATGTAACATCAAAAGCCAGTTGTGGTGTTTTATTGTAATTCAAACAGAAAATACCACTTTTCTGTTCTTGAGGATAAGACCTTTTGTGTATAACATTCTAAAATGAAGACATTTCAAGCTTTACAGGTTACCTCCAAGTTTTCATGCTGTGTGGGAAGACTTTCAGTAGATGTATTACATTCATGTACCAACTGCTGACCAGTGTTGCCCCGCTTTAAAAATCATAAGTTTCTGTACTTCCATGATTTGCCAAGTGTCCAGTATAATGAAACTGCCCTTATTTTAAAAACTAGTCGAAGACTCCATAGATGAAATTTGATAATAAACTTCAGGATTACATTTGTTATTTGTTTTCAGTCTTTGCACTATATTCTCAGTGTATTTAGACTTTCAAAGGAAAGTGTTGGAGAATGGTTGTTTGTTACCAACTTAAAACATTGTTTACAATGTTTTTGGTGCTTTTGAGTATCAAAAATCAACACCACATCCCCCAGAAACTCCTTACTCTGAATTTTAACATATTCCGTAAGATTCTGCATTCTGTATTTGTTCTCATGGTTTGTCATTCTTTAAACATACATTTATATAACTACTAGGAGAAAAGCATTTGCTTCCCCTCAGAGCACAGGCCCAGCACCAGAGCTGGTGCCGAGTCTGTATTTTACACCTTCCCAGGTTTCTGGCGGGCTGCAGACTGCTAACCCCTTACCTACGAGCACCAGCAATGCCAAAACAAGCCTTCAGAGAGCAACACAAGTATCCCATGATACCAAAAATAACTCATTTCTAAGTTGGGATGCGGAAGGCATTTTCTTAATTTGACATTTTTTTCAGTTTTGGATAGTATAACAAAATCTGTCTAGTTACAGAGTTCAAACAAGTGAGATGCCTACAGTGTGAAAACTCATACTTTTGACTAGTGCATAAAAATGAAACTAACCTAATCAAGCAAGGAAAAGGGATTGGCCAAGTAACGGGCAAACATTTTAAAATAGGCGGAAAATTAGAAATTAATGGACACTTAGAACTCAAAATAGCTGTAATTCATATGCAAAGTGGACAGGTCTAATTGGGCCCCGTTGGGTCTTGGGAAAAATAATTGATGTGAATAAAGCATAAATGTCTGTTTTTTTAGTTCAGATAATACAGAAACAAATGGAATAAGGCTACAGTTTTCATTCACATACCCCCCCAACACATCCCTGTGTTCAATTATACCCATTCCTGCTTTTTCTGTGCACTTACTTACCTAAGTAAAAATATGTAAAGGGTTTGTTTTGTATATAAATCGGGTTATACTAAAATAAGTAGTGCCTATTTTTAAGATAGGTTAAATTTGTGAATTATGTCAAATATATTGAATAAAATAAGATAAAAGCCATTTTCATTTGCTGAATCTGTATTTTGTCCTAACAAGTAAAATGCTTACAGTGTTAAGAACACAGCTGCACTTCTGCTGATGAAAGACTGTTGTACGTGCAGGTAAGGGAAGTGTCCGTGCAGCGAGGAAAGGACTTCGAGCTGCATACCAAGAAAAAGGTTTTCTATAGTCATCGTTACCAACTCATACACCATGAATATAAGATGTTCCACATATCCCGATTAGGAGAAAAACCTCCAAAGTATGGTGCAGGACAGTTACTATATAATATACCACTCTATATGAAAACATTAAAATACACAAAAGGACTCAAGCTTCTGGGAAGGATGTTTAAAGGACAGGTAACAAAAGGAGACTCAGATGACACGTAACCTGTTGTTTGGCAGCTACCTGAAAATCACTTGTTTTCAAGAGATGATTGGTTTCTTTGTTTTCGTAGTACAGAGCAATCTTAAAAACTTCATTGGGTGAGCATAATTTTGGACCAGGCTTAACATCCAGTCCTGTAGTTGTCATTCAGAGCATTGCTTGGTACCTGGCACGTAGCTTGCCTACCATATTAGAGGAAGGAATCTACCTGCCAGAGAAGGTAGAACAGGATGACTACCTTCAGTAGCATTCAGACATGCGGAGCCCTCACCCCACCCAGGCGTGAGCACCCCGAGGTTTGGAGGAGAAACAGCTCTGGGATGGAGGCTCGGAAAAGGCTGAGAAGGCGCTCCCGAGAAAAGTAGCATCTGTAATGACAAGTACCAGTGAGGAAGCCGTGTGACGCCCCTCAGGTAAGCAACAGTGGTGGAGCTGAGGCCCAGGGCAGAACAAACTGGGCAGATTACTAGGGACTTTCACTGCCTTCCTGACAGAATTCTCCCTTGTTCAAAGTAGAGATAGGAGAGACAAGCAAAGCCAGTGAAAGCAGCAGCTAGAATTACCAGAATTCTGCACTAACCCTCCGCTTGACGTCGTCAGAGCCTCTTACCCACTCAGAACTCCCACACTGCTCGCTCTGGCTCTTGGGGTCTTTGATATACGGGCAGTTTCTGAGCTGATGTTCACCCACTGACACTTACCTTAATAATTAAGATTCTTAGCATACCAAACAGGCTTTCACCTCCTTATACGCCATCCAACAACTCCTTTCTTACTGGTCAGGACAGGTGGTGGGTCGTGACTGGGCTAAGACAGTCATGTCTGTCCCCTTCTATGGTTTCCTGTTGTCTGCAACTCAGGATGGCCTTGTGAGCCACTTCTCTCCAGTAAGATGAAAGTGGAATTGAGGGGTTGGGGAGGTTAGGAGGGGTATGTTGTGGAAGCGCTCTTCCTAACCTAACAAAAGGGTAGCGATTTTATCCTTATAGATTGCATCAGGCAAGCGGCTTGACATGTCTCACTCAGGTGCCATTAAATGTACAAAGCAGGACAAGGACAGTACCTTCCCCATGGATTATAAACGCCACTTGGTTTCTAGCTATCCATAACAGGAGTTACCTGCTAATTACGACAGAAAACATGGAAACGATCTTTTTTAAGGATTTAAAAACTCAAGATTTATATATAAACCTAGAACCAAAGAGTCACAAGCAGAATCAAGAGACAAAATTTAATATATGCACACAGTCTTATATATAATGCAGCATCACACCATGTAGGGCATTTACTCTTATTTTATACATTCAGATATGTTTGAAACACTTCTTAAGGCTACAAAACAGAACATAGAAAAATAAACAGGATTATATTCAACACTTACAAAAAGTGATATGATAAAGAATATAAAGTACTATTTTCCTTTCAACACTTCAAAAGATATGTATAATATACTTTTTTTTTTACAAGTAACATCACAAATGATCACATCTTCACATGCTTTTAAGTATTATTTGTACTCAGTGTAAGGCTATTATCATTTTTCATACATAAATTTTTTTCTAGCTCTGTAACAATGCAATTTTTAATCCATTCAAGTAAATTCAACCCCAAAGTTGCTGTTTCCCAGCATTAAGACATGCACCCACCCCTCTTCTAGGATTCTCTAAAACTTATATTCCAGGGAAAAAATATCCCCATTAGCGGGAAACCCAATTAGCGGGAGGTTAAGTGGCTGACGCCAGCAGCAAGCCTTAGTTCTCTGAAACTAACACGCAGAACTGAGCCATTGAGATTTTCAACAACAACATTTTAAATGTTATTTAGACATAAAATAGGGAACAAAACACAGTAAACAGAAATAGTGTAGCCAAATATATTCTCTTCAGCTACACTAAAATGGACCTTGCTTAGTACCCATGTGAAAGACTAAAAAGTTTACCTCATCTGAAACTAAAAAAGATAAGTGAGGCATAAATAAATATTGCTAGTTTCTAGGATGGCTGAATATTTTCTAAACCAGAAATGGTTAGAAAGGAACTTTATTGCACCAAGTCAATCATAAGCAAGTTTGCAGTTCACAGGCATTTCAAACTCAACCTTGAATCACAAAGAAAACATCGCACTGCATGATACAGAGTTTGCCTCAGATCAGCTTATCGGCACCCTGGCTTGGGAATAGGGACCCCTGGCCAGGTCGTCAGGCAGGGACGGAGCACAGGTCAGCTGTGCTGTGCACAGGTCAGCTGTGAAAATGAGTGTGTGGGTTCCTGGAAAGAGGAGGCCTACACAGATGCCAGCACCCCGCAGCCTACCAGCGCTGAATGAAGGCTGATCTGAGGAAATCCACCCGGAGACAGAAAACACACCACACTCAACGGGAGGGGCAGGAATCACATTTAGCAAGAGCAACTAAATGAAAAAGTGAGCTTTGGTCATTCTAAACATTTGTTCTTCCAAATGTGTGTGATCATAGTACAGCAAAGTTTCACATTTCCCACCTCAAAATACATATGCTTCTCACAAGCTTTTGTTTTCCTCTTAGAAACTTTATATGTCATCTCAACATTATGAGTCTTAAAATGAGAGTTTGTAAAAAGCTTGCACAGCCTACGTTTGATCACAGCATAAGGCAAAAAAAACCTCTTGAAACTGAAGCAAACATAAAGGAGGAAAAAAGCCCAAGAACTGACCCTCATGCTAAGTCTGATCATTTTAAAACTAATTATCAAAAGTCAGAGATCTTTTATCCCAGAGGTCACTGAATAAAGTACCATCTGCTCAAGTTCTCTCTCAGCACTGTTTCTCCACATCATGTCTCGGAGGTAAGAGAAGGGAAGCAGGAGGCAAATCAGTATTTCCTTCAGAAACAAGAGTATTCCACTACTTAACTGAGGTAAGACAGTGACAGTGATGAAATGAAGAACAGTGTCCTTTCCTATCCAACTTTTCCAACATTTCCAGAAGAAACAGATCAAATCCCAGGCAATAAAATGGAGGGCCCTGGAAATAGCAATTTCTTTTGGACTCCTGAGATCAAACTTATATGGAGCTTTTAAATCTGGTAAATTGCATCTGACTGTGACTTTCGTGTAAGAATTAGCAAGCCAGTTAACCCTACATTTAAAAGAGCAGGAACTGAAAGGGGAGGAGGACCCTTTGCATTCTCATTCCTTACCTATGGGTGTTAATTAAGAAAAATGGCTTGAGCAGTACCTTCCCCACTGTTGTAGCTTAGAACATGACAACAGAAATTCAACAGGTCTTGTCAAGAATGTTTTGCTTTTCTACACAACCACCCCAGTCTTTACAAATTTTTACCTAGCACCATCATAATAAAATGTTTTCTTCCAAAGTGCTCTCTAAAATCCTATGTCACAAAACATCTAAACACTACTCACTACTCAGATCAGCAGTCACACAGCATTAGGTAAGTGAAACAGCGCAGAGGTGAGCAGCCATGTCACAGTCCCGCAGAGTTGCCAAGCCTAGGGCGCCCCCAGCCCTCCAGGGTCCCCAAGAACTTGGGAAGCTCATCTACTTCAGTCTGTCAAATTCAAGTGAATTGTTTGCTTTTAAAGTAATCTGCTTTTATTAAAAAAAACAAAAAACTACTTTTGGCTAGGTACATCACACATGGCATGCAGAGGACGACTGTGTTCTTTGCATAGCGCTCGAACTTCCTGATCAGAAGGTGACAGAAGGGGGACTTTTTCACGTCGGTATGTACAAGGAAGGTAACTAGTCACACAGCGTGACACAGAATGCGTGAATACTGTGTTAATGCGGAGAGTGGTGTCTCCACGGGGACAGAGTGCAACATGCAAAGGGAACTTCTAGCTGAATACTGCGAAGACAGGTGGAAGAAGCCGAGACATGTTTGTCACCGCAGCCTATAAGAAGCAAAGCAAAACCATTTTCTAGCAGCATCATCTAGAGAAGAACTCGAAGTCACCACCATCCTTTTCTTGTATGCCAGTTCCAGCCGTGACACACTGAACATGCAGGTGCAGAGTGAGACACATAACCCATGTGCAAGAAGAAAAACAAAACTTACTCTCGTAGAAACCTGTCAAGCTAAAAAGTTTTAACATTTCTTCTCACAAAATATTTAAATCTGTCAGTGCATTAGTGTTAAAGTGGCATTAAAAAACGTCTGCAGTTTTAACAGATGCAGATTATTCTCCAAATGCATAGCATCTACATTTCTCTCAAGTGGGCACCGTGACACTGACACCAGTGCTGAGAATCCTGGGTGGAAACAGCCATTTCATTAGATGTCCTATTAGTTCTCAAAACATCTGTTCCTGTATGTGATCTCAAGTTCAACAAATATTCACCGAAATTCAAAAATATACCCTATGAATATTACAAGAGCCATACACAACATTTCTAGGACCCAGGCTGACAGGCTGCCTTAGGCGCCACATCAAGAGGAGACATCGTTCAAGTCTGACAGACACTGAGATGAAGGCCTTTGGGTTGGCAGCTTTTCAGACAGTGTTGAGGCTGAGGGTTGTTTGCGCCCAGCTTATGACTAAGGCATTGCATAATAAAATAGACATTTCTATTTGGTGCAATGTTATGTTTTGGAATCTATCATGTGTCAAATGGTCTATTTTCTTGTCGATTTA